TACGTTCAAAGTTAACTCATGATTTGATACTCTGGGAGCACGGATCTTATTTAAGAATTTGGAAGAATATAAGTCACTCAAAAAACTTGAATTACAGTCTAAGTGTCGTCCTTGTCGGAACTAAGATATGTTCGAGATTCGCTCCTAAGATTCATCACTGTCATATACTCATTTATAGAATCGATGACATCTATTCTTGGAGCCAAAATTGCACGGTCCTACAAATAGCTTAATTCATTGGCTACTTTATGAATTTTTGGATAACTGGTATTCACTATAGTAGCTATAAGATCTTCAGGTGATAGAAGTAACATGTCATCAAGTATTGCTACCTCGGCATAACCATCTTGTTCATCACATGCAATTTCTTCGCCAACACTCACAATTTAATTAGCAAATTCAAATAAGCGATCATAACTACTATCATGAATCATTGATTGTAGTCACATGTTTTTCGTCAAATGTAGCACATTGCACTTTTTCCCAAATGTAAGAGGAATTAATCATTGAATTAACAATGTCTTGTATTGTTCCTTTTGGAATTGCCAGAAAAATTTGCCGAAAATCTCTACCAAAGACAATTGCTTTTTCTCCGAAAGTTTCTTTTTGACTCATTGGATTGGAATAGTAGAATTTCATGCATGTAACGCCCCAAAACATACCCTAGAATTATTAATGAATAAATAATCAATTAATCAAATTTGTTTTGATTAAAATAAATTATTGTTGGGCTTTGGGCCGATATGAAATGTGTTTTGACATCCAATATCAAAATCTGGATAAGTCTCATAGAGATAAATCCAGTATCTGGACTATTTATGTGGTATTGATTGAGAACCTGAGTACAGACCCAAATCAAGAGTAAATAAAGAATTTGTTTAGAAGGTAAATATTGAAATGATTTCTTAAAATAAATCATGAGAATAACTGATATGAATTAAATGAGAGAACATTTTATGAGAAAGGTCAATTAAACCAATTTTGACTCTGACAAAGTCAAACACCCAAAAATATGATGTCGGAAAAACTATTTCAAATAAATATGAAAATTATATCTTGGATAGAGTTTAATTATACGATCGCAACGGTGCAAACGGAATTCAATTCGGAGAAAGTTGGACCAAAAAGTGTTCCCCGACTAATACCAAATTAGTCTCAATCACGGACTTGCGTTTGAAATGGGAAGAAATCGCCGTCCGCTCCACTAGCCGCTGAAACAGAGAAGGTGACTCAAGAACCATTGGCCTCTTATCCATTCTTCTCCTATATAATGGAACCTAAACATTTCCATTTCTTCACCATTCTCTCTATTTCTTCTTCCATTTTGTCCGTGAGAGTATGGAGAGTAGAGTGGTGCTGTCTAGAGAGTTGGAGGTCGTCGGAGCTAGCCACAAATCCACAATCCTTGTCGGAAGTTTCGCCGGAAAATTTCCAAAACCATCATTTACCTTCGAGGTAAACCCGTAGATATATCTAGTGACTAAAATGTTCGTATAGATCGTTTCTACATTCATAAACGCTCGTTTGGTTAAGTTTTGTGTTTGACATGCTTGAAGAACCAAGCATCATAAACCATGAAATTGATGTTAAAACTATGAATTAATCATGCCAAAATGATCTATGAACCTTGGAGAACATCTCTATATAGTTTCGTTGAAGTTCGATAACTAAAAACGGTATTTCCGATATTGGACCCGAACGAAGATGAAGATGAACAGTGGCTGAAACACCACTGTCTGGATCGATCTAGGGGCTTGGATCGATCCCCTGGGAGTGATTTTTCATAGTATGGATCGATCCAAAGGGCTGAATCGATCCCCTGAATTTTTGATCCGAAAATTTGTCTGAAAATGTTATTTTTGAGCTCTAAAATCCTATTTTTGATACTAATTGATTATGATCATTATAAAATTGATTTTTCACATTAAAAGTAATATTTTTAAACAAATAAAATGTTATGTGATGCATGACGGTAAGTTAGGGTGTTAACACTCGAAGCTAGGTCGCTAATTGTTATTGAATATTATGTTGATTGATGATTATGGTAATGATTATTGATTGATGATTATGATGATTAAATCATAATACATATTCTGATTAAAAATGATAATTGTGAATGATTAAATCATAATGAATATATTGATTATTGTGAAAAATAATATATTGTTAAGGGTATCTAGAAGACCTCTAAGATATACTTATATTAATGTTGATTTGAAAGTTATCTAGAAGACCTCTAAGATATACCTATTTAAGTTAGGCCTTGCAGGTATGAACCCTAGTGGCTAGGGTTAAAACGTACGTACGGGATCTAAGAACCAAACTTCAGTACCTACTCGTTTGGGGGTACCACCCACTTAACAGTGAACACTACGCTGTCGGTTTCTAGTTGGCCTTAAGTGAAGGTAAGTTTAAGATTTTCAAAACCATTTATACTGGAATATACTGTAGTTTAATTATTTAGACTAGAATTCATTTAAGGGTTGATAAACATTAAAGTGATTGGCCTTAGACTAAGAATAGTTTAAGGATATTGTTGAATGTTGAATATTGAATATGAATGAATATTGAACGATGATTATTGAATTGAATATTGTGATTATTATGAATGAGAGACGATCATTGAATATGAATGAATATTGAATGATGATTATTGAATTGAATATTGTGATTATTATGAATAACAGATGACCATTGAATATGAATGAATATTGAATGATGATTATTGAATTGAATATTGTAAATATTATGAATAACCGATGAACGTCGAATATGAATATAAATGTTGAATAATGAATGATGAATACTGACTAATGATTATTGAATATCTGAACTGAACATTATGTGCATGATATCAAATGATTTGATTATGAATTTAGATTCAGTTTATATGGATGTTCGATGCATTAGATATGCTTACACAGCTTCAACGCTGAGCGTGTAATATGTTTTATTTGCTACACGCAGGTTAATAAAAAGAATGAAGTGACGTCATCCTGGAGGCAGACGGAGGCGAGATTGTTGGAATGGATGTGATGGTTTTTAATTAAAGAACATAAATAAATTATGTCTGTGATTATGATTTGTTAAGCTTCTGCAATATTGAAAAACTCCGTACTGTTATGAAAAATATTATTGTGATAAATAAAAGTGTTTGAAATATTTTAAATTTTTACGATTACCAAGCTAATACTTTAATCTGAAAGGGGCTGCAGACCTGGACGGATTAGGGTGTTACAATGCATCTCTATCCAAAGCCTCAAAGCAATATTTATGTGTCATCGGGGCTTCATCCCAAACAATTAATTTGGCCCTCACCGTAACTCGAATAGTTTAGATGACGCTCTTCCAAGAGGCCTTGACATCGAGCCACTGTGAAGGCGTGATGATTTTTTCCATCAATTCACCTCTAGTCCATTGGATTTGCTCTTTGCTCGGATCAATCGTACATGACCCATGGACATTAAGGATGCGGATAGTACAAAGAATGAAGAGAATATAGGGAGATTCAAATGGGCCAAGCGTGGTATTTCGTGTGACGGCCGAGCACACCCTTACAGGCCTGGGGGCCGAGCCCATATCTCCATCAATGACTAATTACCATTTACTAACGGTAGAGTCGAGCTTGGATCTATTGAGCACTTGATGTAAATAAAGAGTACGCCTTATTCGGTAACATAAAGTATACAAGTAAATACTCACTCTCTTCCAAAAAAGACCTTTCATTCTTTTTGAGACGCCCCAAAAAATAACTCATCTTTCAAGTTTTGGCAAATTCTATGTGACCCAACACCTTTTGCTTCTTCTACATCACTTTCAAACGGATATTTTTGCTTTTCTTAAACTTTATACCAAACTTAATTGAGAAGCTTTTTTGGGACATAAGAAGTATGAAGTATTCCGTATTTGAGATACTCTTAGGACCTGTTTGGTGAGTTTTGAAGACATGATAAGATATGCATTTTGAGATATGAAAGAAATGATATGAGTTTTGAGATCAGAAAGGAGATTGTTTTGAAAAATTTAAAATTATGATGTAATTAGTGATAGACGGGCGCAATCGGCAACATGGGTGATTGCCGGTGATAATGATAGTCACTAAAAGAGAATATTCAACGGTTCAGAGAGATATTAAACTTCCATATTGATATCTTTGAAATTCGTGAGATATCGAAACACTCCATTTGAAAAAGTTATGACATCTAAATATATCAACCTCGATAGCTCTTTTGACTTCACCAAATATCAAAAAAGACTTTTATATCTGAAATTAAAAAAATTCATACTCCCTCTGTGGCTCCGTCCACAAATAAACTTTCCGTTCACTATTCACATAGTCAAATTTTATTCACTTTGTTAGCCTATTCTCATTACCCATTTAATAAAATAATATAATTATGTCATCTCGAGTTTTGTATATCTTTTAATATAGTTTTTTAATATAAAATGATATAAAAATAACTTTAGTCAAACATCATAACGCGCAACGAGAATTTATTTGTGGACAGACTTTTAGTTGTTTTGAAAGGTACTACCTCCTTCCCAGAGTATTTGTCCACTTTCATTTTTACACACCATCCAATACACTTCTTTAGTCCATTTTATCTTGTAATTTGTATATTAAAAAATTATAGAAAATATATATTAATAATCTATATGTTAAAACAAGATCACACATGACTATATTTAGGTTTACACATTAATAGAATTTGATGAGCAAAGTACTTAGATAAAGAATTTCAAAAGAGAAAACTTAACAAATATTCCAGGACCAAATATTTTTTACTCGGTAGTTAATTTAAGGGTCCGCCATACCAAATAGTTCGGTTTTGTCCACGGTCCACCCGGCCCAATCCTCGCCGGCTGAGTATAAAAAAAATAGCACAAAAATAGTAGCTCATCTTGGGCGTACATTTAGAATCGGACGGCGGAGAAACGTCAGCCAGTGCCTGCCAATCGCGACTCGGCACCAAAATATCTCTTTTCCGCACCTATAAGTAGTTGCCCTAATGCCCCATTTTTCTTCCTCTTCCGGCACGCTTCTGGTTTCTCGGAAGCAAAGCGCCGTTTCTGCATCTTCTTACGATCTAGGGTTAGAAAAGCACTATAATTAAGGGAGGATATAAGGCCGGCGTTTGTTCTGCTGTTCTCAAATCACACCGTAAGCGACTATATCTCCAATCAATTTTCATGTTTCCATGCTTCTAAGGGTTTGATTTTCATTATTGTTATTTGAAATCCATGACCTGAGTTGAATCCGATTTATTCCTGTTGAATCTGCGAAGAGATTTCACTGATCCGAGGTCATAAATCCGGATTCGTTTGCTGGTTTAATTGTTTGTGCCGATGGTTGGCTTCAATTTATTGATTTCAGATTATAATTTGTTTGGTAAAGCGGTGACTGGTTGAATGTGTGATTTCAGCTTTGGTTCCCTGCTTAAATGAGTTATTGTGTTTTTAAGTCGTTTCTGTAGTTATTAATGTACCCCTTTAGTATATTGAGGATCTTAACTCAGCTTGTAAGATCCTAGGGTAGTAATGTTTGAACTTTTTATTACGTACATAACCTTAAAAATTAGAAGTTATAAATCATAATCACAACATCCAACTCACAACATTTTTAAATCTCAAAAGTCTGAAGAAGTGAGAACGTTAAGCTTTTTTATAAGCCAGCAGTTCGTTTTCTTTTGAGCAGGGTGCTGAAAGTGGACCAGATCAAAGTCTCAGAATTGTATCATTCTCTTCAACAATCATGGAATCAGCTGCTTCTTATCGAAAGCAACATGACATAACTGTAACTGTAAGTAACTTCTATTTTATACCTTACTATTTTTGTGTCTGCTTTAGTCTTTGTAAAGCATTAGCAGCTGCCCAGCAATTTGGCGAAACCCCTCGTCTGATGTACTACGCCCCAAGCCCCGCCTCACTTAATATACACTCCGTATTTAAAAAAAATTAATCTGTTGTTGATAATATATTGAAAATTTGATATATTAATTTCTATCCATAATTTGATTGATTATTTCTTAATTAGGAATGGTGTCTTGAAGTTCTTTTAATATGCAGTATTCAATTACTTTATTAAATATCCAATTACTTTGTTTTGTGTTCAACTATTGATATTATTATCATATTATTGTTTTTCTTGAAAATTAGTCATGGGCAAATTTGTTAGGAGCACTCTGTATTAGATAACTGAATTGTTATTTTTAATAGGAAATAGAATTTTTATTAAAAATGTTACGATTTGAAATATTTGAATGTTTGTGATACAATTTATTAAGTTTTTTCAATAGAATTTTATTTTTAATGTTTCAAAAAAGTACATTCAATAACAATTTTTTTTGATAAAAATAGAATTATCAGTTTTGAAATTTATTAACTTTTGTGATTTATTTGAAATTTAATAACTTTTGAAATAGAATATTTATTTGTGATGATATAAGTTATCAAAAAATCTTTTTAAATGTTTTGAAAGTTAAGATATTTCAAAAAAAATTCTATTAGGTTTGAAATTTATTAATTTGAAATATTTGAATGTTTTGAGTAGTATAACTTTATTTTTAACAGATTTATTTTCATTTCATATTAGGTTTTTTTTTAAAAAATCCAGGGGCACTCCCCTGGACCCCGAACGGTGCCCCCCCATTACCGACCTTCTGGATCTTCCACTGTTGTCAACCAACTCAATTGCTTTGAATCAGCAATAATAACTGTTGAAAAATACTGTTATGACCCACTATTCCCAGGCCTTCTCTAAATTTGGTCCTCAGTGTTTGCATGAAAGAAACTACTATCTACTTGGTACAACATTTTGCCCTGTGTTTTCCCAAAGCTTTGATATTTAGCTCTTTGACTATGCCAAAGCTAAATTGGTTCTGTTATATCATTAATGATTTGCACGTCTAATGTTTCCTCCATTTCTTCTTCATCTCTTATTCCTCTTTTCCCTTACGGACCCCTCTACACAAAACACTCAAGTCCCACCACCCCCTCCAATACACCAGCTTGCTCCACATTTTGTCAATTTTTGCATCACAATTGACTACCACTTGGTCCGAGTAGTCTCAATGTAAAGGTTGAGTTCTATGTAAGATTTGTGTTGTTGTTTGGTGGCTTGCTTTAACAAGTCTTACATCTATGAAGCTTCTTTAATGTTCGTGTAAGATTTGTATTGTTTTGGTTTCTTGCTTTAGTCTGTTTTTGTACATTTCAGGGAGTTAACGTGCCTCAACCCTTCACTTCATTTGAAGCTACTGGTTTTCCTTCAGAGATTCTTAGGGAGGTATGTACTTAATAGTATCATTATGTCAAGTTTTTTAGTTGTCATGCGACTGTTTTGCAACATTTATTATTTCATGGAGGTCCAATTTGGAAATTAAGAACTTAATCCTAGTTTCCATTTCCATTTTTTGTTCTCAGGTGCGATGTTTGCTCCAAGGAAGAGCCAAATGTCGTACACTGTCACGCTCTCAAGTCTCTTAGTAAAGCTTGCAAGGATTTGGATTGCCCTTATTTGGTCGTCAAAATTTTCTGATGGGCTTTCCGAATCTTCCAAGTTAGTGACTGGGAATTATGCTTCTAGTTGTTCGGACTGCCTTTTGGTCTGAAAAAGTACCTAAACTCGCAGAAGCAATGTGTACCTACAATGTAGGATGGTGCTTCTTCTTGATTTGGCAGTTGAACAAGACTAAAAGTTTAATCAATTTTTTTAAAATGAAAAATTGCAATTGTAGTTATCCAAGTGTTTGTTAATCTTTTTCTGTTCTTAAGAACTGGTGGTCACATAGTTAGCCCCTAGCTTGTCTCAAATTGTGTGCTTTTAGTCCTCACTTGAATGCAATTCCTCTAATTTGTCTACCACATTTAATATTACGTTGTAAATTATTTTATATGAATAATACATTCATAAAGCAGTTCTAGTTGAAGTGCATATTTGTTGTGCCTATTTGACAGTAGTAAATTGATGAAACAACTTTTAAGAGAAAGCATCTCAAACCAAAAACTACTCCCTCCGTCCAATTTATAAATTGGTATTAAAATAAGAGGTAGAATTTACAAACTTTTAACTACATCTGGAGTTCTACAAAATAAGATGGGATAGAATTTTTTTATTTTATCAAATGATCAATTTTTTTTAAGGACAAATGATCAATTAAATACACAAATAAATAGAAGTTTGTTTTTGGGGGGGGGGGTTATGGAGATAGTAAATATCATCCTACTAGGCACTGGCGCATCTTCACCTGTACATGATTATGTGATCAGTGTTTCGGGTGTTAAATCAATTTTATATTAGTCATTATAATGCTTCTCCTTTCCAAAATATTAGGCTTTGTTTTTTGATTGCTTTAATGGAAAGAAGCAACATAGTTCACTTCACAAAGTTGTTCATCAAGAGGGGCTTAATGTGTCATATACTCATATTTTTTCAGAAATTGAGATAAATGAGGAACTATGAAAAGCTCAAAGTCAGTCACAAAATAAACTATAAACTTCTCTTTTTGTATTTAGAAAAGCAATATGTGGCTCATAGCATTTTTATCTTCTAAACAAATTCAAACCATACTTTTTCTGTACTTTTCTTAAACCTCATGAATTTACAGTGTGAACTTTGTTTCATGATGATGGAAGTTATATTTATGCTGCTATACTAGATATATTTAATAATTAATAGTTTCTTTCGTTAAGGATATTCTGAAATAATTTTTATTACTGCTATTTGAAGTAAGAAAGCATTCATTTTGAGACAATCTAGAGACCTATGCTCACAAAAAACATTTGAGTGACTATTATTGTAATTTTCCCCAAAAAATTAAAACCTGGCAGCTCATACTTGGTTCTTTGTTTGGCTTTTTTTCTTTAAGGTGATGCGTGCTGGATTTTCTGCCCCGACACCAATACAGGCACAATCATGGCCAATTGCCCAACAAGGATCTGATGTGGTAGCTATTGCAAAAACAGGGTCCGGGAAAACATTGGGTTATTTGATTCCTGGATTTACTCACATATTACATCAACGTAACAATCCGAAACCTGGTTCTAAAGTTGGTCCAACAGTATTGGTGTTGTCACCAACAAGGGAGCTGGCAACCCAAATTCAAGCTGAAGTAATGAAGTTTGGAAAAGCATCAAGGATTACTTGCACGGTATGTACTAATGATGTTTTCTGCTTCTTGTTGGTCATTGTGAATTTTATGCCCTGCTCCCAAGAGAGTCATGTTTCAAGTTTTTTTGTCCCAAATTTTAGTGTATTTTAGGAAGTCAACATTTCATTTTTAAGTAAAATTTCTGATGGGAAGTGGTGTTTTCAATTACACCACAAGTGAATTTAGAAAAAAGTTATGTGAATAAGTGAGCACACATAACTGTGAAGAATGAGTACCTTGATAGAGTAGATTCAGAAAAGAGATTTTCTGAGACTGAAGTACATTTGAATGATTTGATTTGCGCAAAGGAAGTTTTATTCTTATGTTTTTTTTGTGTGCTCTGAAGTGTTTGTATGGAGGTGCACCTAAAGGCCCACAGTTGAGAGATCTTGAAAGGGGTGTGGATGTGGTGGTTGCCACTCCTGGTCGTTTGAACGACATTCTAGCTATGGGAAGGGTAAGTCTCCGTCAGGTTTCATACCTGGTGTTGGACGAGGCCGACCGGATGTTAGATATGGGGTTTGAACCTCAGATAAAAAAGATTGTGAAGGAAGTCCCAAACTCTAGGCAAACACTCATGTACACTGCAACGTGGCCTAAAATGGTGCGCAAAATTGCTGCCGAACTACTGGTCACACCTGTCCAGATTAACATTGGCAAGGTTGATGAGCTCGCTGCAAACAAGGCCATCACTCAGGTATTTCTATTTCATTTTATATTAGATGTACATTTAAAACATTCTTCTTTAATGGATTAAATTACTCGGTAGATGTTCTGATATCAATTATATTTTCATATCAGCATGTTGAAGTAGTTGCACCAACTGATAAACACAAGAGGCTAGAGCAGATATTGAAATCCCAACAGCCAGGGGCAAGGATTATTATTTTCTGCGCAACAAAGCGGATGTGCGACCAACTTACCCGCAACCTAACCCGCCAGTTTTCCGTTGCTGCTATTCACGGAGACAAATCTCAGGGGGAAAGGGACTACGTGTTGAATCAGTTCCGAATGGGACGGTCACCGGTGCTTGTAGCCACAGATGTTGCTGCCCGCGGTTTGGATGTTAAGGATATCCAAGTCGTGGTGAATTTTGACTTTCCGATGGGAATAGAAGATTACGTGCATAGAATTGGAAGAACGGGACGGGCAGGTGCCAGTGGCATGGCCTTCACTTTCTTCAGTGACAGGGATGCAAGACATGCTTCGGATCTTGTCAAGGTGTTGAGTGGAGCTAACCAAATTGTCCCCGCTGAGATTCATAGTATGGCATTACAGGGTGGCGGCAAGGGGATGTTCAACCCGAAAAGGCAATGGGGCGCCAGCGCACGTGGAGGAGGCCGTTCTCGGGGCTATGGTGGACGAGGTGGCGGATCTGGCAGGTATGGTGGCATTCCCTATTGTTTTTATTTTCTTCCTTTCACCGGCGTGTTTTTAAAGTTTTAAAGTGCCATAGTCTTATGCAACACTATTGTCCTTGAACTATTTATAAAAACGTGCAGAGGTGGAGGAAATTATGGAGCAGCACGGCGGAGCAGAAGCCCTCCAAGAACTTTTGCGTGATTTGTTAAGACAACAACGTGAGACAGCAGTACGGTTGCGCCTTTATTTTCTCTCTATACTCTGTTGTATTCTTTGCCGTGTGATGCCTTTGAACTTGTTTCACACTGCAGCTCGTTTTTTTTAAAAAAAAATTGTTTTAAATTGACATTTTTTGGGTTTTGTTCTGTTGACATTTCTGAGTAATCTCACTCTCATTTGGTATTAAAGATATTTAAATTAAAATAGAGAGTATGGCCCCTTATACTAGGGGAATTAGGGATGTTACCTTGGTTTGGGGGCAAGGCACCATTGACATTGAACCTAGACATCCTATTGTGTTTATGGAATTCAAAATCATTTGTGATGGTTTTCATTTCCTATCTTCATAAGAAGCTGAGAATCAAGTGTCAAAAAAAGCAAAATACTGAAAATATTACTCCTTCTGTCATATAATGATCTTTTTAGAGTACTATTTTAACTTAATGGGAATTTATATTTATTTGTGTTTTTTGTTGCCTAAAATAGATTGAAAATATTTGGGATTTTTCTTCGTTTTGTGAATCGGGAAGATCATTATAGGACAGAGGGACTACCAAAATCTGCTCGTATTCAACACATAACCTGAAAACCATTTTTTGAATGTGTGAAACTTGAACATGCAATGATTAGTGCAAGTTACACCATAATGATTATGTCAGTTAAACACGTGATCAAATTAATTAAGCTATGGAAGAAGAAAATGATTCAACTATTTGAATTTTGAAAATAAAACTTATTCAGAGACATGTAAGTATTTACTTCCTTCGTCCCAAATTATAATGCCTGTTTACTATTCACAGGGTTAAATTTCATTCACTTTCTTTCTTTCGCTAGCAATTTGATAAATTAAAATATTATTGTCACTACTAGTTTTGTAGATCTTTTGATGTAGTTTTTTAATATGTAATTTTTTTTAATTCTATACCATTTGTCATATAAAATGGTTTGAAAATAATTTCAGTCAAACATCGTAAACCTTTATAAATTTTAAATTGGGAGGGAGTACTTTTTGAATCTGACATTTAACTTTTTGAAGTCTAGTTTCTAGCATTATTTCGACTTTTTGATGTTGACGTTACTATCAAAGTTGCCTTCATCGAATTGAAGGCCAAAACATCAATTAGGGTCTGTTTGGTACACGGAATTAATGTAATTGTAATTGAAATTAAAATTCCATGAGATTCAATTCCACAAAATTGAATTCACCAATTCCAATTCATTTTTTTGCATTACTAATTCCAAATTCACATAATTTTTGTGTCACCAAACACTAGAATTGAAATTCCCAATTCAAATTTCATAGTTTGAATTTCCAATTCAAATTTCATAGTTTGAATTTCGTGTACCAAACGATGTCTTAAGGAACTTGACGTTATTATGGTGTACCTACTTTGAAAGAGACGCATTCAAAATATAAATCTACAACTAATAATGTGCGTGCGATAAGTTTATGATATTAGACGTTTGACACTATTTATCATTATTGACTCTCAGTTTTGCATTAGAAAGAAATAAATTTACTTTTTTTTGTCGTAAATTAAATTACATGTTTATTATTTATATAGTCAAACTTCGTTTACCTTTATGTTTTTCTATTTTTGGTAGTCATTTATAAAATAAAAGTCATGTACTACTAGTTTTGTAGATCATTTATCTAAGCATAACCATTTCACGTGAGGTTTAGCTTAGCCATTTGAAACGAGTATTTAAGTGTGATGCCTAATAAAATTTTAGAAAAAGTTTTGGACTTTTCAAAGGGTAAATCGAAATTTAAACATTGATTGAAAAACATATGAACATTTTTTGTGTGGTCTTTAGGTTCATATTTATTTTACAAGACCTTGAGACATGAATTGATTAATTGTATTGAATCTTGTAAAATGAGAGATACAAATACAAGGTCATGAAAAATATGTAAGAAAGTCTACATTACACATGTGGATTTTAAGATCACAATAACACAACTCATGAACATTATCGTTATTATAGTCAAAGTAAATTTTTGGAAAACAAAAAATCACACGACAAACCCTCAGAGACTAAGAAATAGAAATACATCGTATGAGTTATTCGTGTGCTTGCGAATTGATTTTGAAATCTTAAAATTTTACAAATTCACGAGATTTCGGTGAGTGCGTCTCTAAAAATTTTACTTTTACTATTCAAAACTCAAAGAAACTTTAGTTTATTTGTACGTTTTGATTGATAATTGGCTAAAATCCACTATTGGTCCTTCAACTTTATCAGTTGTGCATGATTGGTCTTTCAAGTTTCAAAAATCCATAAATAGTTCTTCAAGTTTATGAGTTCTGCACCATTAGTCCTTCAAGTTTCAAAAGTCCATAAGTAGTCCTTCAGGTACACATCAGCCATCCAAATGAAGTCCTTTTGACAATAAATATTAAAAGTTAAACGGAATATTAGTTTCATATAATACGAGTAAATTCCACTAGGTATGACTACTCCATATTATATGGATCTAGTATTCCATTTAGCTTTTAACATTTACTGTCAAAAGGACCTCATCTGGAGGGCTGACGTGTACTTGTAGGACTATTTATGCATTTTTAAAATTTGAAGGACCAATCGTGCATCTCTCATAAACTTGAAGGACTATTTATGGACTTTTAAAACTTGAAGGACCAATCGTGCACAATTGATAAAGTTGAAGAACTAATGGTGGAGTTTAGCCTTGATAATTTGATAAAATAAAATATTCTTGTCACATCTTCTTTTGTAAAGTTATTGGCGTATTTTCTAAATATGTAAATTTTATTTTCAATTTTATACCAATCGTTAAATAAAATTAATCAAATTTGAAAAATCACTTTGTTTTTGGAAAAGTATAAAACCTTTTGGAACGGAAGGAGTATAAGATAAGAAAAGGGAAACAAAAAACAAACTTGCAAAACGTAATAATTATTCTTTTTTGTCCCATATCTATTTTCTAGTTATTACTCTTATAATTTCTCGATAACTTATGCTAGTATGTATATATATTTTTATTGATCATTTGATGAAATAAATTTTTTTTGTCACTTCTTGTTTTATAGAACTTGTGATATAGTTTTGAATGATATAACTTGTACTCTTTCCATCTCAATTTAAATTGCATGTCGTTGTTTATACGATTTGACAAATTATTTTTAACGTAGTTTATTTGAAAATCTGTGTGGAATTTAAAAAAATTACATATATATTAACTACACAAAGATCTACAAAACAAGACGTAACAAAAATAATATAATATATAAAGTACTCCGTATTATTTTATCAAATTTATATTTATACTAGCATTTTAACCCGTGCCACGCACGGGACTGAACAATTTTTTTTCCTGTATTTTTTCTTCAAGAAAATGTAACTCATAATATCTGTTTGGTTGAAAGAAATAAATATATATTTTAAGAAAATTTTAGTTTAATTTCCTACGTTTGGTTATATAAGTAGTAAACAAAAGTTTTTGAGGATAAATATTTTCAACTCAAAAAGGAGAAAATGATTTTATTTGCTTTGGACGAATGTATATTTTCTAACTCACTCCTCGCGTCCTCTAATTTCATGAACGAAGCAAAGAAACTGTAACACCCCAGCCCCAAGCCTAGCAATAAGTGTCCGCTCAAAGGATTGTAGACTGGCCCCATAAACCAACACAAGTCTTTCTCCCACACTTTGTCCTCACTCGTGCACGCCCAAGGAAAACTTCCTAGGGGGTCACCCATCCTAGAATTGCTCCAGGAAGAAGATGCACCTTGTTGATATGAGTAGTACTATCAATCCTTTTGAGCTCTTCCCATTCCCATCTTGATACGATGTATTACATTCACCCCCACTTAAGAATGCATCGTCCTCGTTGCATCCTTTTTCTTTGAACCCATAGATCTTCCCTGCTAGGTGAACTAAGCTCTTTTGGTCCGTCACGGTCGCAGGGTTGCTCTGATACCATTTGTAACACCCCGACCGCCACCCTAGCCGTAAGTGTCCGCTCATAGGATTATAGCCTGACCCCACAAACCAACACAAGTCTTTCCCGCACACTTTGTCCTCACTCGTGCACGCCCAAGGAAAACTTCCCAGGGGGTCACCCATCCTAGAATTTTTCCAAGTCAAGCACGCTTAACTTTGGAGTTCCTAGGTGATGAGCTCTTGAAAAGAAGATGCACTTTTTTGGTATGAGTAGTACTATCAATCTTTTTGAGCTCTTCCCATTCCCATCTTGTAATACCCCGTATCAATGTGCGTGCGATAAGTTTATGATATTAGACGTTTGACACTATTTATCATTATTGACTCTCAATTTTGCATCAGAAAGAAATTAATTTACTTTTTTTGTCGTAAATTAAATTACATGTTTACTATTTATATAGTCAAATTTCGTTTACCTTTTTTTTCTATTTTTGGTAGTCATTTATAAAATAAAAGTCATGTCACTACTAGTTTTGTAGATCATTTATCTAAGCATAGCCATTTGACGTGAGGTTTAGCCTAGCCATTTGAAACGAGTAGTTAAGTGTGATGCCTAATAAAATTTTAGAAAAAGTTTTGGACTTTTCAAAGAGTAAATCGAAATTTAAACATTGATTGAAAAATATATGAACATTGGAATTTTTTGTGTGGTCTTTAGGTTCATATTTATTTTACAGACCTTGAGACATGAATTGATTAATTCCATTGGATCTTGTAAAATGAGAGATACAAATACGAGACCATGAAAAATATGTAAGAAAATCTACATTACACATGTGAATTTTAAGATCACAATAACACAACTCATGAGCGTTATCGTCATTATAGTCAAAGTAAATTTTTTGAGAACAAAAAATCACACGACAAACCCTCATAACTTTGTGTATGCATTAAGTTTAGTAAACATTTATTAATACTCCATAATGGTAAATGGAATATGTTAAGGGTAACTTTGTATTAGCATTAAAAATTGGAAATTTCATAGAAGTATTAACTAATACGTAGTAATTAATTAATAATTAATGGTAATGTAGAATTTCATATGAGCAATAAAAATGTTTCCATTTTTATTTAAACACATCAATATGTTTTTTAATAACAACGAACCGGTAAGATGGAAAGGGGAATATGTTTCCATTTTTATTTAAATGTTATGCCAAATAATGGTAAGTGATAATTGGGAATATGTTTCTATTTTTATTAAAAAAATTATGTTTTTGTATGAGCATTAAAAATATTTTTATTTGTATTTAAATACATTAATATGTTATGTTTTTAATAACACCGAAAACAGTAATTTGAAAAGGTGAATA